ATGCACTTGTGCCTATATGGGGTGCCAGCGCCACAGGTGGAGGATTAGACCACAATGCCACCAGCGCCAGGCCTGACTTTCCTCACCTCTGATCTTTGGGCTGGCTTATGAATTGTCTGAATGTCAGTTTAATGTGTAATGGCCCCCAAACTGAGAAGAATCCTGAGACAAAAGAAAAAATAAGGAAGCTCCAAATCAGAATAAGCTTATTTAGGACAGTTTCCATATGGTTTTTCAGACTCAGATGCATTCATGATCTGGGAAAAGCTGAAGCAATGAATTTGTCCACACAGGATATAGATTTGCTTGCTGTAGGCTGGCTCCAGTCTCACTTGGATTTCATGTTCTCTTGGGCTCACAGATATGTGAATCGCCCCTAACCATTTTCCTTATCTTGAAGATGAACAGAGTATTTAAATATTCCCAAATATTTCTGTCAATTGATCATCTGTCTTACATACATCTTTTCATCATGGCATTATAATTTATAGCCAAGGTAAATCCTAGCTTAAGGTTTGTACTTTGTGATTTCACTTATAGAAAGGGATTAACGCCGGCGCCACAGCTCAATAGGCTAATCCTCTGCCTGCGGCGCCAGCACACCGGGTTCTAGTCCCGGTCAGGGCGCCGGATTCTGTCCCAGTTGCCCCTCTTCCAGGCCAGCTCTCTGCTGTGGCCCGGAAGTGCAGTGGAGGATGGCCCAAGTCCTTGGGCCCTGCACCCGCATGGGAGACCAGGAGAAGCACCTGGCTCCTGGCTTCAGATCAGTGCAGTCGCAGCAGCCATTGGTGGGTGAACCAATGGTAAAGGAAGACCTTTCTTTCTGTCTCTCTTTCTCACCATCCACTCTGCCTGTCAAAAAAAAAAAAAAAAAAAAAAAAAAAGGGTTAACATAATGCCTAACACAAAATAAATCTTCATGAATTTGAGCCATTATCACCACCCCAATGATACCAATGCCTTTAGTGGATTGTGAGCGTAGAAGGGAATAGAATTAAGTAACCCAATTAAGCTACTATAAAATATACATTTATTATTAAGTTAACATGCTATAATTTCTACCCAGCAAAATAAAGTATTTGGCGTAGAACATTTATCCCAGTGTAAGCATTCTGGAATTACAAAATTAGACTATCAGATGTTTTAATTCACAATCACAATTGTAGTCAAATTAGGGTGAAAAACTAGAAAGAAAGATTTTGTTTTTTGTGGCATCAAATTCGACATATTTTCTATTTCATTAAAGCTGAATTTTTATGATCATATAAGGAAATTTTTTCAATACTTATATAATTTTAATTTTCTTTTGATCCCTTTCAATTAATGGAAACTGTATGCTTTTACAAATGGAATGTTGGAATGTTTCACTGACACTTAATGAATTCTAGCATGGTCACACCATGCATTTCTATAACCATCTCTGCCTCTATGTGATACTAATTACATTTCTTCCAAAACACATTAGGCCGCTTACACTGTTTGTTGTCTTAAAATGTTACATTAGCCATTTACCTCCTAAAATTTGCTGCAGACTTTTGTTTACAGTCATTAAATGTACTTTAGCACTTTAACTTTTCAATAAATTAGAAGATCTTTCTTTTGCAATAAAATTTCCAGTGGCAAATGCTTTAGCAAACATTTAAAAAGCTAAAATATTAAGTATAAAGGAATCTTGTTGTTTCTCTTTTTTTAATTTTTTTTAAATTTTTTATTTTTTATTTTTTATTTTATTTTTTTGACAGGCAGAGTGGACAGTGAGAGAGAGAGACAGAGAGAAAGGTCTTCCTTTGCCGTTGGTTCACCCTCCAATGGCCGCCGCCGCCGGCGCACCGCGCTGATCCGATGGCAGGAGCCAGGAGCCAGGTGCTTTTCCTGGTCTCCCATGGGGTGCAGGGCCCAAGCACCTGGGCCATCCTCCACTGCACTCTCTGGCCACAGCAGAGAGCTGGCCTGGAAGAGGGGCAACCGGGACAGAATCCGGCGCCCCGACCGGGACTAGAACCCGGTGTGCCGGCAACGCTAGGCGGAGGATTAGCCTAGTGAGCCGCGGCGCCGGCCTTTTTTTTATTTTTGACAGGCAGAGTGGACAGTGAGAGAGAGAGACAGAGAGAAAGGTCTTCCTTTTGCTGTTGGTTCACCCTCCAATGGCCGCCGCAGCCGCACTGATCCAATGGCAGGAGCCAGGTACTTATCCTGGTCTCCCATGGGGTGCAGGGCCCAAGCACTTGGGCCATCCTCCACTGCAATCCCGGGCCACAGCAGAGAGCTGGCCTGGAAGAGGGGCAACTGGGACAGGATCTGGCGCCCCGACCGAGACTAGAACCCGGTGTGCCGGCGCCGCAAGGCGGAGGATTAGCCTAGTGAGCCAGGGCACCGGCCTGTTGTTTCTCTTACCTCAAGGAAAAAAAAAATCAAGAGTCTTTAGAAATTATGCTATTAGTTAGAGGAAACAATATATGAAAAGGAGTAGAGGGAATGAGATGGAAAAAAATTCTAAACATTTAGGAATAGTTAAGTACTTTTGATGTATTTGATAAATCAATGTTTATCATTGTTGTTGTCATATATTATGTTGTCAAAGTTTTTTTCCTGAATAGGCAACAGAATCTGAGGACTAGAATCATACTGTTTTGTGATGAGTCCTGTCTTTGCCCCTTTTTATACATACAACAAAAATCCTGCTAGAATATATTTTTCTCTTTAGAATTTTACCACATATTTATATACATCAGCAGAACTATAACTAGTGGGATGTTGGGGCCAGCGCTGTGGCATAACTGGTTAAGCCGCTGCCTGTGGTACCGGCATCCCATATGGGCGCTGGTTTGAGACCTGGCTGTTCCACTTCTGATCCAGCTCTCTGCTGTGGCCTAGGAAAGCAGTAGTAGAAGATGGCCCAAGCCCTCGGGTCCCTGCACCCTCGTGGGAGACCTGGAGGAAGCTCCTGGCTCTTGGCTTCGGTTCAGCGCAGTTCTGGTCGTTGCAGACATCTGGGGAGTGAACCAGTGGATGGAAGATCTCTCTGTTTCTACCTCTCTCTGCCTCTCCTTTTCTCTCTATGTAACTCTGACTTTCACATAAATAAATGAACCTTTAAAAAAATAGTGGGATGTTAATTTTCTTTAAAAATAGACAATGTGTAGTCTTAGAAACAGACTGTAAACACCTACACTAATCTCTTCATTTTTATTTGGCTAGCTGACATGAGGTAGACTCAGTGGTTTTTAATCATTATAGCAATTGTGAAAAATCTTAGTCATCCCCACTAATTGTATAATTCAGCTATGAAAGCTACAATTACTGATACCCAAATCTGTCAATCAATATTTGCTTATATCTATACATAGCAGAACATACATTTTAGGATGTGAAAACAAAGACTGTCATGATAGTATTGGATTCTTACCTTCCTGCTGTCAGAATCTAGACTCCCCATAGAGGGACTCTAGCCATAGATGATCAGTCTATTCCAAAATTATAGCAAAGATGACATGATATTTAGGATATTCCCTAACACATAGGGGCTGCTGCTGTGGCATAGAGGGCTAAGCTTTTGCTTGTAGTGCCTGCATTCATTATGGCCACCAGTTCAAGTTCCTGCTGTGCCACTTCAAATCCAGCTCCCTGCTCATGCGCCTGGGAAAGCAGCAGACGATGGCTGGGCCCCTGCACCCAAGTGGGAGACCTGGAAGGAGCGCCTAGCTCCTGGCTGCGGCCTGGTCCAGCCCTGGCCATCATGGCCATTTGGGGAGTGAACCAGTGAATGGAAGATTCTCTCTCTCTCCTCCCTGTATCTCTCTCCCCTCTCTGTATCTCCTCTCTGTATCTGTGCATTTCAAATAAATAAATACATAAATCTTTAAAAAAACATCTATTCTCCTTTTTTTTTTTTTTCACAGAAAGATCTTCCTGTTCCATTGGTTCACTCCCCAATGGCCGCTGCAGCCTGTGCACCACTCTGATCCAAAGCCAGGAGCCAGGTGCTTTTCCTGGTCTCCCATGGGGTGCAGGGCCCAAGGACTTGGGCCATCCTCCACTGCATTCCCGGGCCACAGCAGAGAGCTGGCCTGGAAGAGGGGCAACCGGGACAGAATCCGGCACCCCAACCGAGACTAGAACCCGGTGTGCTGGCGCCGCAGGCAGAGGATTAGCCTATTAAGCCGCGGCGCCGGCCATAACACCTATTGTAAAGATTAACTAGATTTCTCTCCTAATGCCTGTTTCCTGCTTGTCTATTCATTGCAAATTTCTTTGAAAGGACATTGCAGACATTGAGACAGGGACGTTTATTTTCAAAATGAGAATAAATGTTCAGGTTTCTAGTAGAGCCTATAAGACAGTCTTCTTTCAACACATGAGAACGTCTGTGATAGCCCAGGGCATTGGTACCTTCTGGGCCGCTAGTGTTGGGATCCTCAGAGTTTAGCCTGGTGCTTGGCACACAGAAGGGGTTCAAAATCTTGTTAAATGGAACAAACGTGAATGGTAATTGGCAACCTCGCGCCCTGGTTTAATCCTACGACACCGCATAACAAATCCCTTGTGCAGCATTTCCAACTAGATGCCAAGTCACTCAGGCGCAGTGATCGGTTTTTCTCACAACCTCCAGCACAAGTCTTGGTAAGTAGCTCTCTCATCCACTGAAATTAAACAGTCAGCAAAGGAAGAGAAAAATTACGAAGACCATAAGAAGAGACATACAGGACTGCGCTGTTAGAAAGGCAGAAAAAAATCTAACTCTAAAAGGGGTTAAGACCTCAGCTTCCTGGGCATTAACACAACGTTCAGACGCGCAGGTTGCCATAGCAACTATGGAGCGCCTACTTTACGCCCCGCCCACCGCCCGCCCAGTTTCCGTCCCCAGTCACGCCCCCAGCTCCATCTTACTCTTCTTCCGTCAACCCCACACCCTTACTTCCGCCCCAACCTGCCTGCCGGAACCTAGCGCACTGGTGTGTATGCCCATGTTTGATTTGCCTGATTATAAATACAGCTGAAATTTACTGAGTCTGGAAACGTATCCATTTGATGAGATCCATACTTTCTCCTAAGAAATGATGTGCTAACGTACTAGCTATTTGTAACTCGGAGTCCCCGCCCAGCATGAGCATCTGGGGCCAACTTTCAGGCAGATCCTTAGACAGCTGCAGCGGCGGAGGTCCCCAGTTCGCAGAGGGAGACGTGGAGCTGGGCGGGGCGGGGCAGCGTTCTGCAGAGCTGCGGAAGTGGGGCTTCCTGGCGGGGTTGGCGTGGCGTGTCGGTGCCGACCTGCTCTACCATGTAAGTGTTGGCCTACCGGCCGCCTCTGTGCGTGATCCCGCGGCCCGACCCTGACTCTCTCTTGCTGTCTTCCTCAGGTCGAAAGTGTCCTTTAAGATCACGCTGACGTCGGACCCGCGGCTGCCATACAAAGTGTGAGTAGCTCCGCCGCCGCGGGCCTCTTAGGGCTGGGCCGTACTGGCCTGGGCTGAGGGTGGTCCCAGCCGGTTAAACGGGAGGGACGTGTGGACAGGGCAGTGGCGGTTTTCTGGGATTTTTAAACAGACTGTCTGCTGGTGATAAAGGCGTTTCTTCACTCTGACCAGCTGTTAGAACAAGTTCCCCGGTCCAGACTCTGAACTTTCTTGAACGACTCTTAGGTTTCTGATTTTTGTGACTCGACAATTGGTGTCAGAAAGTCCAAAGCCTCCAGCTATACACTTCCTATGCAGAGATGTCATAAGGAATGTTTAGAGGAAATGGGAAATGAGGAAATAGAGATCATCCCTGGGAATTGTTACCCTGCTGCAGTTGGATGAATGGTTAACAGAGCTTCGACCCAGGTGCTTACCTGGACCATCCTTTGATTTTCAGTAAACATTCTTGAGATGGTTGCAGCCGGAAGACCCAGGAAATGTAGCAAAGAACTGGACTGAAGTAGGATATTGTGCAGTTGATATAATTAGTCCTGGGGCTGTCGACCTGTACTGGTAACTGCTGCCGTCTTTCCCGTGAACTGCCATTCATGACACATGCAACATCCCATCCCTCCAAATGAGTATGTTTACTTTTTATGTCAAGTTTTCATGATAGCAGCCTGGAACGTTATGAGTTCTGGTAATACCTAAATGTACCTAAAATGTAATTTTGAAAATTTCTGATTTTTTCATTTTATTTGAAAAGTGGAGAGACAGAGACAGAAAAGACCTGTCATCTGGTTCACTCTTCTTGTGTCCATAATAGCCACAACTGGGCCAAGCTGAAGCCAGGAGCCCAGAACTCAATCCAAGTCCTTCCCTTGGGTAGCAATGACCCAAGTACTTAAGCCGTCATGGCTACCTTCCAGCATGCATATTAGCCGAAAACTAGAATTGGAAGCGGAGCCTGAACTTGAACCCAGGCACTCAGACGTGGAATGTCAGAAAACTAAGCAGCTTGGTAACCACTGTGCCAAACATCTGCCCCAAGAGTTGTTTTTTTTTTTTTTTTAATCTCTTTTTTGAGCTCCACAATTCATTTCCTCTTTACCTTCAAGATATCAGAAGGAAAAAGTTACAAAGAAGCAGAGAGCGGGCACAGAAAGAGAGAGAGGTCTTCCATCTGCTGGTTCTGTCCCCAGATGGCCACAACGGCGAGAGCCGCACTGATCTGAAGCAAGGAGCCCGGAGCTTCTTCTGGGTTTTCCACATAGGTGCAGAGGCCCAAGGACTTGGTCTGTCTTCTACTGCTTTCCCAGGCCATAGCAAAGAGCTGGATCGGAAGTGGAGCAGCTAGGACTCCAACTGGCGCCCATATGGGATGCCGACTCTTCAGGCCAGGGCTTTAACCCACTGTGCCACAGCGCCGGCCCCTGAATTGAGTTCTTAGCTCCTGGCTTGGGCCTGGCCTAGCCCTGGGTATTGTGGTTGTTTGGAGAATGAACCAGCAGATGAGATTTCCCCTCTCTTTTCTCTTCCCTCTTGCCATCTTCACACCCCCTCATTGTCTGTCTTTTTTTTTTTTTCCTTAAGAATTATGTTATTTATTTGAAAGAGTTACAGAGAGAGGTAGAGTCAGAGAGAGAGGTCTTCCATCCGCTGGTTCACTCCTCAAATGACTGCAAATGCCATAGCTGAGCTGATCTGAAGCCTGGAGCTTCTTCCGGGTCTCCCATGTGGGTGCAGGGACCCAAGCACTTGGGACATCTTCTGGTGCTTTCCCAGGCCATAGCAGAGAGCCAGTCAGAAGTGGAATAGCCAGGACTTGAACCTGGACTCAACCTGCACCCATGTGGGAGGCGTGGATCTTTAACCCTCTTCCCACAGCCCCTCATTGTCTTTCCCACAAGTAAGTAAGTAGTGTCTTAAAATTCTTTTGAATACAGGATGAATTAAAATGTGTTTAGATGTTTTACTCTGATTTGCATCTTTTCTCCAGGTTTATTTTCCACATTTTATTCTCTCCTTATTACAAACATCACTTAAAGTTTCAGCCTTCCCATTTCCCATTCTGAAATTAACAAGCTAGCCATTTTAATTCTTGCTGCCTTTACTGGTATGCTTTCAGTGCTTGGAATGCAGTCTAGTGACTACTACTTCTTAACAATGTCCTTTTATAACCAAAATTAGTTTTGGGAAGATTTCTCTAGTTGTGCCGGGAGTTAATCTCACCATTCTTTAGTTAACGTTAGAATCCTTGTTCTTAGTCTTTGTACACTTACCAGCTTTTATGAATATTTTGTTTATATAAGATAATTATTAAAAGAAAAATTTCAGTAATTTGCTTTAAAACTTAAATTACCATTTCCTTTTTTTTCAAAATATAAGTATAATTTAGTGCCAATTTTATTTAGTACTGTTAAGTTGCAAACAGCACCTTCAAATCTAGGTAAGGTATATGGAGTCACAGTGACTCTTAGTTTCTCTGTAATTTTCTTCTACTTGGAACATGCATTAAATTATGTTTTCATTTTATGTGTTATTAATTTATCTGTGGACAGTCTTACCAATATAATATATAGGTAGAAACTTTGGTTACCGAACAGCAGTATGACTTTCAGATACAGTGCAAGAATATTTCCATGGCTCTAATTTGAAAGTGAATTGAAACCCTCAGATTTTGGAAGTTTATCCCTTTGAAGCAGAGTTTTAAGAATGTGACCCCTCTAGGGGTCTGCTCTGTACTCTGCTGGTTAAGCCTTTGCCTACAGTGCCAGCATCCCATATGGGTCCAGGCTGTTCCACTTCCGATCTAGCTCCCTATTAATATGCCTGGGAAAGCAGCTGAAGATGGCCTAGTACTTGGGCCCCTGCACCCACGTACGAGACCCAGAAGAAGCTCCTGACTCCTGACTTTGGCCTGGCCTAGCCTGGGTGGTTGTAGCTATTTGGGGAGTGATTCAGCAGATGGAAGATATTTTTCCCTCTCCCTCCCCCTCCCCCTCCCTCCCTCCCTCCCTCTCTCTCTCTCTCTCTCCTTTTCTCTCTATAATTCTGCCTTTCAAATAAATAAATCTTTAAAGAAAAAGTCTCAGGTTATCAGCTACAGGTGTACTGCAAAAATACATGCAAAATACTGTTGCCTACTTTGTAAGCTATCATATTACCAATTTATTAGATATATTTTAAACAAATGATCCTTTAGAATTTTATTTTTATCTCTATTCCTCCAAGAAAAGGGAAAAAAGGGAAAACATAGCCATTCCCATTTTTTAGCAATAGTTTTGAGGAATGAAATGAGGACAGCCAAGAAATCTATTCACATTTCCCTTACTAAAGGGTATATACTATGCTGTGGCAGGTGTGATGGCTCTTATATTTAGAGATCTTTAGACTAAATGAGGAACCTGGGATGAAAAAATTAAAAAATAATATTGTGATGACATAGAAATGTTTAAAAGAGAAATGTTAGCTTGTTAGTCTTTTTCCCTGCCTTGAAAGATTATTTGCTTTTTTTTTTTTTTTTAAAGATTTATTTATTTGAAAGGCAGAGTTACAGAGAGGCAGAGAGAGAGAGAGAGAGAGAGATCCTTCATCTGCTGGTTCACTCCCCAAATGGCTGCAGTGGCTGGAGCTGGGCTGATTTGAAGCTAGGTGCCAGGAGCTTCTTCCAGGTCTCCAACACGGGCGCAGGGGCCCAAGCACTTGGGCCATCTTCCCACTGCTTTCCCAGGCCATGGCAGAGCTGGATCAGAAGTGGAGCAGCTGCCACTGCAGGTGGCACCTTAACCCTCTATGCCACAGCGCCAGCCCCACTTACCTACTTTCTAATGTTATTCACCATAATTTATTTTATGTTAGGAATTTTTATCAGCTTTTAAAAAATTTTTCTTTTACTTTTTTTTCTTAAGGCATAATGTCAGTTGGTAATTTTTCAATTGGAATATTCATATACATTGACTCTTGGACTCAAAATTTGGTTTTTTAAATCAGGATCTTTATTATACTTCTCGTTATATATGTCAGTTAGCAAAATCGTACATACCTCTCTAGAATATTATTTCAGATTATAAAAAGACCTTTATCAAGTGTTAGTGAAAAAGTTAGAAAGGTGACTTCATTGTTGGCATTTTGCTGTAATAAACGTAATCAGTTTTGTAAGGTTCATCAAAAATGATGCTTCCCAGTTATTAACTATTTAGAATGAAAATCATAGTATTACTGCATCAGGTGCAAAGGGGCTTAAATAGGAGGCACCAACTTGGACTGAGGACAATGAGATATTCAGAGTTTTGAAATGCATCTGTAGAAATAAGAATAAACCCATCATTAGACTTACTTGTGTCAAAGTGTTAAAAATATATAACTTGACAGCTAAAGAAATTGATAATTTTTAAGTGGAACTCTGGGTACTAATTCAAAAAGACTTTTATTATTTTTATGTATTTTCTGTTTTTTTTCCTTAAGAGTTAATAAATGCAGTGTATAATAAGACTAGTGAACTTTGATGCTCATGACAGCTTTATCCAGGTTGGCTGCATTAGCAGTAGAAAGAAGTAAAGGGGTTTTTTAAAAAAAGAAATCATCTGAAGGAGGAAGGGAGTATCTTTGTATTCATAGAATTGTATTTATGAACAGTATTGAAGCAGTGAAAAGCTAAAAATTTTAAAAATAAAAAAAATCAACTATTAAAAAATTCTTTTAATTTTTCTTCCAGACTCAGTGTTCCTGAAAGTACTCCTTTCACAGCAGTGTTAAAGTTTGCAGCAGAAGAAGTAAGTAGGGAAATTGGAACAACCTTTATGTAATATTTACAATGTGTTTTTAAAATTTTTATTATTTGTATATGTTACTTCATGGGTTTATGGTATCAAAAAGTTATAATTAAAATGAGTTGAGATTTAATTTCAAATATTTGAATAATAAGCAAGTTGACATTGTTTAAGCAATCATTGAAAAGTTTGTTTCTTGAAATTCAAAAGGTACCATTGATGAGTAAATTATTTTTAAAAAGCAACATTATATCACACTATAGTCTACATGCTTCTGTTTTTTCCATTTTGATTCTGGAATTACAGTTTTTTGTTTTTTGTTTTAATCTTTATCATACTTTTCACGTTTTCTGTATGAGCAATAACATTTGTTATTTTGAAATGTCCAGTTTTTAGAAGCATATTTGACTTTTTGGTTTCAAAAAATAAAATTTTTCATGGGCAGCATTGTGGTATAGTGGGTAAAAGGTATAAAGCTGCCTCCTACAACACTAGCTTCCCACGTGGGCATTAGTTCATGTTCTGGCTGCCTTGCTTCCAAACCAGCTCCCTGCTAATTCCCTAGGAAAAGTGATGGAGGATGGCCCAGCTGTTTGGGCTCCGGCCAACCATGTGGGAGACCCAGATGAAGCTCTTGCCTTTGGCCTGGCTCAGCCCTGCCATTGCAGCCGTATGGGAAGTAAACCAGTAGAAGATCTCTGTCTCTTCTCTCCCTCTCTAACTCAGACTTTCAAATAAATAAATAAATCTTATAAAAAAAAAGAAATAAAAAACTTTTCCATTCAAAATTACCAGAGCCTCCATAAAGCAAGTTATTATCATTGCACTTGGAAGACTAGCTTTATATGTAGAAATGTCACCAAAATGTAGTTCGGGAGACTTAGTGTTCCTGTTTTAGTTGTTTCATTAATTCACTATATTACATGATGTGGGGCAGATACTATAAATTCTCTCCCAATTTCTTAATCTGTAAAATTGGAGTAGTTAATGCTTGCTCTTCTTGTATGATTAAGTGATTTTGTGTAAAAATAATTTTGGAGTGAAGTTGAAAGTGCTAGAAGTAGAGTAACCCAAATTCAAATGCTTTGGTTCGGAATCTATAGAAAATTAATAGGTAAAGAAAAATAACTTTAATAAGCAAATGAGTATGTAGTTTACTTAAATAACTAAATGAGTAAAAATCCAGCTTAACCTGTAATCCTCTCCTCTAGATAAGTTTGTACATGTAGCCCATTGTTGGCACTACCATCATTTATCATTTAATTCAGAATTAAACTGCAAAGTAGTAGAATTAGTTTTACTGAAAATTTTGATGTGTTCTTTATACAGAAAGAATCCATAAAATGGGATGGGACACAAATCTGAGTATTTTTTAAGATTTATTCTTCTTAAAGATTGAATGACATAATAGAAAGGAGAGACAGAAAAGAGAGGAAGACTTTGTACTGCCCAAATGGCTACAACAGCTGGGGCTGGACCAGACTGAAGCACCCTGAAACTCAAGTCCGAGTCTTCCACGTGGGTGGCAGGGGCCCAAGCACTTGAGCCAACTTCCACGGCTTTCCCAGGCATGCTATCAGGAAAGTAGATTGGAAGCAGAGAAGCTGGGACTCGAACTGGCTTTCTGATATGGAATGCCGGTATCACAAGCCATGACTTAACCAGGTGTACCACAACACTGGCCCCTGAGTATGGCATCATCACGTCTTTGGCTGCACGGATAATTTGCAAGAAATATTCTTGGTTTGGGACATAGCACTTCCACGATTCCAGATTTAAGAAGTAGATCCGTACAGATTATACTTAATATTTGTTACTGTGGTACATTTTTTGTTTTGGTTTATATTTGCATTGTTTTGGTCTTGGTCTTCTAATTAAAAGTAGAAGAAATTGAGACAGGTGTTTAGCCAAATGGTTAAGATGCTGGTTGGGATGCCTGTATCCTATATTGAAATGGTTGGGTTCAAATTTTTAGCTGCACTCTCAATTCCAGCTTCTTTCTGGTCAACTACTGGTAGGCAGTAGTTCATGGCTTAAGTGGTTGGGTCCTTATCACCTACATGGGAAACCCAGATTGAGTTACTGGTTTCTGGCATAAGTCTGGTCCAGCTCTGGATGTTGCGAATATTTAGGTGGTGAATCAGCGGATGGGGCGTCTGTCTTTGCTTGTCCATCTCTCTGCCTTTCAAATAAATTTCTTAAAAAGTAGAAGAAAACAGACACGCAGTAAAAAATAAACTTTACAAAATCACATATATTGATTAGGGTTTTAATGTAGCATGAAAAGTGTAAAATCATGAATTTTACACTTTTAGAGAGGTATGACTTCCAGGCCACAGAGGCAGGGTCTTTCACAAGACAAAACTGAAATCTTTTGTATAAAAGTTAGCTTGAGAAACCAAGCGTCTGTATTTAAATTCCTTGTAAAATTCTCTTAAGAAATAATAGTGAAATTCCACAAGATGTGACTTACTTTAAGTAATGAATTTTCAAAACAGTAGACCTATTAACATCTTAAATTATAAGAATTATGGAAAATGGAGAAGGAAATAAATAGAAACTGAAAAACATAAATATACTTTTTATCTAAGAGAAAACTTACTCATGATAAAGGACATAATGATTAATTACGGTATTTTACATCATTAGTGATTCCTTCCTAAACTTCAGACTAACCAGTTGCTTCCATATTGTGCTGAAGGGAACTGTGAGCAGTTGTTTGGGTGTTTAAAGTAATCAAATGTATTACCACCACATAGATGTGAATAAGAAAGTACGTAACTTATCTTGAAATGGTTAAGATCCAATGGCAAGACTTCACTTGTAACTAAAAACTCTGGGATTCTGGGTTTGAAAGTCTGAGGTGGCGTATAATTAATATAGGTGTTTGAGTAATACTTTACTGATACTACTTTTTTTTTTTTTTTAAACATTTTTTTATTTATCTGAAAGTCAAGAGTTACAGAGGAGAGGCAGAGAGAGAGAGGTCTTCCATCCAAAGGTTCACTCCCCAGTCAGTTGCATTGGCCGGAGCTGGGCCGATCCAAGGAGCCGGGAGCTTCTTCAGGTCTCCCATGCAGGTGCAAGGGCCTAAGGACTTGGGCTATCTTCTACTGCTTTCCCAGGCCACAGCAGAGAGCTGGATCGAAAGTGGAGTCGTCGGGTATCGAACCGGTGCCCATATGGGATGCCGGCGCTTCAGACCAGGGCGTTAACCTGCTGCACCACAGCGCCATTACATTTCTAAACTTAATTAGATTTTAAAGGTTTTTAAAATTTAAAAAAAAAATTTTAAATATACTGATAGTAAAATTGTTTATTAGGTGCAGTATACTACTTAACAAATGATTGTTTTATGTACAGATAAGTTTTTACTTAAAACTCGATTCTTCAGTTCATAGTTTAAATTAGGCTTTTAGCATTAAGAGATGGAGTGTGCCTTTTGTTACCAACAAGTTCTAGGCAACAATGCATTGAATCAAATAGCACCTTGTTACAACATATCTGAAACAGATCAAAAGATTCTTATTATCACTGTTGGCTATGTGGCTGTCACATACTTGCGTAGTTGACACTACCTGCTCCTAACTGAATTCAGTTGATATTTCCTAGTGACAGTAATACTGTATTGTAACCTTTGGAGATTTAAGTCATCAGATCATTTAAAGAGAATTTGATTGTTAGCCGAAAATCTTTTGTAGCACCTCCCATTAAATACAACAGAGCATCCATGTGGAATTTGCCACACAAAAACTTTTAGGTATTGTCTAAGCAATATATATTGCTTATTTTTTTTTCTGCAAGAGAACTGTGTCTGATGAAAGGGACATGTCTGTCTAAAAGAGTAGACATGGTTTGGCCACAGATTGTTAGTATTTTTCCCTTTGTACAATATGTAAAGTAAGGTATATTTTATAATCAGTGATGTCCTAAATAAAATCAAATGCTTTGTTGAGAGTATAGTGTTCTTTAAAGGTAAAGCAAGTTAATAGAACTTTTTCAGGTAGTGTCACTTAAAAGATCAGTCATATTTTTGAACTATAGAATTGATGCTAGTCATCTTGCTTAACTATGTATGTATGTATTTTTTCTTTTAGTTTAAAGTTCCTGCAGCAACAAGTGCAATTATTACCAATGGTAAGAATTCATTTTCAAACTATTCAACTATAAAAAAGAATGACAATGTACTATTTGCATCAATATGGATACAACTGGAGGACATCTTGTTGAATGACATAAGTTGGACACAGAAAGACAGATACTTCATATTCTCCCTTATATGTGGGAGCCAAAATTAAAAAAGGAAAAAATCAAATAGCAAATGCCTGTGTATCAGAATTGCTGCAGATATATTTGTCAAACTTTGTTTAAAAAACTATTTATTCAGAGCTACAGAAATTGTTTGAAAGAAAACACATTAATTAAAATTAACTTGAATACAAAAAGTTAAAAATATACGTCAGTATAAATGATAACACACAACAAATGTGAATAATCTGTCAGGGTTTTTGTCCGTAATTATTTCTTTACATTTCTTTGTGCTCTTGTCTTTTGTCTGTATCACTTGATTCCAGTTTGTTATTGAAAGCAGCTATTTATCAAGTTTTTAATAAACATGTAATGTTGTACTGGTAAATGCTTTAGGATACAGAAAGTTAAGCAGGAGTGTACCTTCCCATTTCTTTCCTGACAGAAACATGTTTCTTACAGGCTTGCAATAATGAGAATTTTATTCAGTTAGGTATATGACAAAAAATCTGAGTATCTTTGAATATTGATAATAATTAAATACAATGCAACTAGTCCTATGGAAAAATAGTACAATAATGAGATGAAGAGTAAAGATCGCAGGAAAGATTGACCTGTTCTTCAGGCATATAAAGTAACATGGTGAATTTGCACATGCTTTTAAGTTTGACTAACAGCAGTGGATATAATGTGCAGTTGTGTGATGTCACTTAGATAGTTCAGAATTTCTTGTAAAATATTCTGCATGCTGTCACATTGAACTGTTTGTTTAGAAATAAACTGGCTTGCTTTCCTGATGAGTTTTAGGTTTGTAAATGAAAAACTCCTCAGAAAGTTTGAAACTTGAGTACCAGTGGAACATGAACTAACTGACTTTGAGATCTCTCTCAGTCATACAGTTTTATACCTCAGAATAATATGGAAATCATCAAGAATATGCATGAGGGACTTTAGCCTTTTGGAAGAAATGACAAACATCTTCACAATATGTAGCAAAAAAAGAATGAAAAATATATCTTCCATACAACTTCTTAGCATCATTTTATTGACCAAAAATGCTCTTTGTCTAATCTGGCAGTGTGCCTAAATGCATAGTAACAGCACATTTCAGCAGACAGATGACTTACCCAGAAGATTCTCTTTCGTGTTTGGGGATTTAAATTGTTCGGCTTGTGCCTGTATACACAGCAGCACTGTTTTGGCAAATCTCTTCTTGTTACTATTAAACCATTTTAGCTATAGAAATAACTTAGATGATTTTACAACTTCTTTTCTAGATGGTATAGGAATAAATCCTGCACAGACTGCTGGTGAGTGTCTATTTGAAAACTCATGAAGGTGTGGGTGGGACTATATATGTCAATTGTTACTGAATATTTAATTCATTCTTGGAACCAGAAACTCAATCCAGTTCCCCTACATGGATGACAGTTACCCAATAATTTAACTACCACTTCTTCTCCCTGGAGACCTGGAGTCAGGAGTCACAGCTGGGTTTTGGACTCAGCTACTTCAATATGGAATTCAGGCATCCTAACCAGCATCTTAAGTGCTAAGCTGCCTGCTTGCCCCTTAAACTTTTTTGATACTTTTATGTTTTTAAGTATGCTCCTTGGCACTTTTGGTAGTTTTATATTTTTAAGTATGCTCCTTCGGGCTTTTAATTTAATTATAATATTTTGAAGTTACACATGAGCAGTATTTATTTTTAGGTTACTATATACTAAAATACTTCTGGATTATAAAAAAAAATTACACTGTCCTTAGAGACCTTGAATGAAACAGCCTTACTAAAAGTGAAGAATGAGTCAAAATTATAAAATATTGTTTCTTAAAGTTTTAAGAGCATAATTTTTTTAAATTTAACTTGTTTTGGAAGTTGTGAGGCAATTTATTATATGGATGTCTTTTAAATTAGTATACAAAAGTTATGTTTTGTTATAGAAATTTATAGTTAAATTATGTTATTACTTTAAATTTTGCCTATTATTATTATTATTATTTTTTGACAGGCAGAGTGGACAGTGAGAGAAAGACAGAGAGAAAGGTCTTCCTTTGCCGTTGGTTCACCCTCCAATGGCCGCCACGGCCGGCGCACCGCGCTGATCCCATGGCAGGAGCCAGGTACTTATCCTGGTCTCCCATGGGGTGCAGGGCCCAAGCACTTGGGCCATCCTCCACTGCACTCCTGGCCACAGCAGAGAGCTGGCCTGGAAGAGGGGCAACCAGGACAGAATCTGGAGCCCCAACCGGGACTAGAACCCGGTGTGCCGGTGCCGCAAGGCGGAGGATTAGCCTAGTGAGCCGCGGCGCTGGCCTATTATGTTACATTTAAAAATGGAAGTGTGCATATCCTAAGTTATAAAGAATATGTCAGCAAGCAGTTGACCTAGAATTGATCAGGGGATATTTTTGTCTCATGTGATAATTTAGATTTATTGTTTATTTCAGTCTTAGGAATTTCATTGTGCTTAAATTAATTCATGTTGTTACTTGCTGATTTTACTGATTTTCATGACTGTTCTTATTTAAAATTTTTAAACATTTGTTAAATTATGAGGACGTGATAGGAATAAGAAGACTTCAAAAGCATGGATTTGGGTTCTAATGCTTGAGCTTTTCAGTACTTGTTTACTGAATGCAGTTATTGCTAAAGGATTAAGTAACTTGTTCTTTTGGAGGTACCTAACTTTATGTTTTGTTTGTTTGTATAGGAAATGTTTTTCTAAAGCATGGTTCAGAACTCCGAATTATTCCTAGAGATCGTGTTGGAAGTTGTTAATGTCTGCCACTGGATCCATACCTGTCACAATAAATATTGATATGTTGTGTTGTTGTAAAATTGAAATCAGGCATTTAACATACTGTGAAAATACCAAGAGTCCATGAAAAATAATGAAAAGTGGTTTTTCTCTCCCTTGTTTACATGTTGATGTGAAGAGGGAATGCTTAGGAATTGAGGTTATGACTACTATAGAAGGTCAGTCTGATTGTTGCCTCAAAGCACAAGCAGGTAGTTCATTTGAAGTAAATGGATTATCAAACTGGAACTGGAGGATTCTTCTGATAATTTTTTCTGAGAACATTTGGAAAATTAAATTTCGCTGATCTTAATGTTTGTGTTTGAGTTAAAAATATAAAAGGATTATGGATTATAAATGGCAGTTTGTTCCATAGCATCTGGTTTGCAGACTCAAATAATCTGAATCTTAAACGATTTGTAGTTCATGATGAAGGTGATAGACATCAGTGGATAAGTTAACTGTCTTAACGTCTTATTTAGGTTGTTTTTAAGTTTCAAAACTTCACCTGTCATATAAATTTCAATTTGATATCAAAGAACTGAAAAAAATCTTTTAACACTTACGTTTGTTGATGTTCCACACCAAATAGTCTTATTATCCGCCTTTTGCAGGGATGGGAATCAACAGTATAGAAGCTTCCTTTGCTGTGTTATGCATTCCTTTATCAATCTCTTTTAATACAGTTTCAAATAAAACTTATTGAGGATAGTGTTTCTAAATAGCATTCAGGACTAATGTTGCCCAAAAATCTGAAATCTACAACAATGTTAAAGGAAATGCTAATGAGTTACACTTAACCTAAGGCCTAACAAAGAAAACACTAAAATTAGTCACCCAACAGAATAAAGAGCCAGGAAAGGGAGAGTGGGGAAGCCCTCAGGCAAGGAGGAAAACAGCAAAGATCAATAGTGCAGGGGAACAGCAAGCTGTCAGAAACGGCCAGTTGAGTAGAACAAACTCCAGGAGGTATGTAGGGAAGATCTGAAAGGGGATAGTTACCTGACAAAGACACACACACAGAAGGCCATTAGAGAAAGCAGAGAAAGTGTGGGCCTTGTCAATGTACAGATTACAACATGTCCCTTAGGGCAATCCAAAGAATGATTGTATTTGTCCTTCCAGAGCGATTCAGAATCTGCAGATCTTGAAAGATGGAGGCTCCTAGTGATTCAGAATCTGCTGTATTCTAAATGGTGAACTTGCTGGGGAAGCATGTTCTTTGGAACTGGAAATATAGTAGGCTTCTAATAAATACTTGCTGAGTAATCCATAAATTAAGATCTATTTTTATCTTAGTAGGTCTCATTAGTTTCCTTTTCTCAGGCCCTTGGTTCTTTGAAAAAAACTAAAATGCAACAGAATCTTATGAATAGTGATATGGATGGTTAAGATTAAAACCTTACCAAGTCTTGTTTGTAAACTCAACTGAACAGTAGGATTCTGAGTTACCAAAGGGAACTTTGCTGAGGTATACTACCAGTGTTAAAGGGAGTTTTTAGAAAATCTGATGCTCAAAGGTCCTTGTTTCTTATAAGTCAAGCATCAGTTAACCACAAATTTGTGAATACCCTTTCCCTGAAACTTTTAGTTTGAGTATTTTCCAATATATTTGTAGTGAAAAATCTACTTGTAATATTACATTAAATAAATATATAATGTCCTGTGCCATAAAATCATTTAGTTAATATTTTTGTTATTTGGCTTTGAAAATATGTGGTAAGCCATTAAAAGACATTTTATTAAACAACTCAGTATTTTGTTATTAAATACATATGATCTGTAAATTCTTTGTGTAGAAATTTTGAAGTATTCAGTTTAAATGCATTATTGGTCTATACTTAATATAAAATATGTTTTGTTATAAACCATCTTGTCTACTCTTATTTTATTATTAGAGTTCTTAAATAGCAAATTTTTTGAGCCAGTGTATAAGAAATGCGGTTAAAAGGGGAGGGGAAATCAGAAAGCTTAGAAAAAGAAGGGATTGTAGTAATTGACAGAGCTGGTGGGTCTCCATCCTATGTGATTGTCAGTCACTACAGTGTAAAAAATATGGATTCTGGAAATTGCCCCTTCCTATTCGGGGTCATCAAGTGTGGAATGATGGATAAGGACATCTATGAAGTGCAGTTCTAGTGATTTCAGCCCTGCAGGCAGTTTGAGAATTAAAAAGGCCCAATGTTTTTCTGTTTGTAAAAGAATAGAATGAGGTCTAAGAGATTAAAGTAAGTAAAGCAAGTTCTAGAATGTTGAACAGTAACTGATTTTCTACTCTGGTACAATGGGAACTTGACTAAATGTAGTGATGAAAAGCCACCTTTTATATTTTGAGTCAGTTGTTAGGTGTTTTATTTCTTAGAATTACCTATTCAAAAGAAGCCTGTGGGAGGAAAATTCTGGCCTATTTAATCTTCTGTACCTCTAAATTAAGATATTAAAACTGTCTCCCAATTTTTTTTTAACCCAGGAATCTTGAACTTGTAAGTTAGAAGCATTGATAGAAGTTAACTGATACTTTTGTTTCAAGGCTATTTATTTGTAAAACATCTTTGTGTCAAATGTTTTGATAATTCCACCCATCTCATTCTTTACACCAATGCCAAGTACCTCCATTTTATAGAAGAGGCTTAAAGAGTTTAAAATTTGAAATGTGAACTTGTTCCTAGACTTTGGAACTCTGAACATCATACTGGGAGAGTTTTTCAGTATCTGTTTTCTGCAATATACTAGATAGATCTGTAATGAATTAAAAATTTAAAAATAAAAGTCTTAGTATGTGTATATTGATAATGAGTACAATGACATTTATTGGTTTGTTTTTAAAGATTAAATTACTTGAGGCAGAGTGACAAAGAAGCAAACAGGGAGAGAGATCTTCCATCTACTAGTTAACTCCCTGATGCCCACAACAGCCAGAGCTGGGCCTAGCCAAAGCCAGGATCCAGGTGTAAATATAAAATGCTGGAGTGGGCCAACAGCATGGCGTAGCAGGTTAACCACCACCTGCAGCACTGGAATCCCATATGGGCACTGGTTGGAATTGTGGCTGCTTTACTTCCAATCCAGCTCCCTGCTAATGGCCTGAGAAAATTAAAAGATGGCCCAAATGCTTGGGCCCCTGCCACCCCTATGGGAGACCAAGAAGAAGCTCTTAGCTCCTGGTTTCAGCCTGGCCCAATCCTGGCCATTGCGACCATCTGAGAGTGTACCAGCAGATCAAAGATTGATTCTCTCTTTCTCTCCTTCCCTCCCTCCCTCCCTCATTCTCTCCTTCCCCACCCTATGTAACTGACTTTCAAATAAGGAAATCTTTATATAGCATATATTTATGTATATATGAAATTCTGGGAGATTAAATGTAAACCAACCAGTGGCACTGGTTCTAGTTGCATAGTGTGGCTAATTGGAAATAGGGACTGTCCGTCTGCATTCATCAGTTTTGTCAGCTTATTTTATACATAAATATATATATATATAAAATGTATATTCATATAAAATGTATATATATATATACATGTATATATATATTCATGTCACTAATGGAGACAGAGCCTTCATTCATTGGGTCACTCCCGAAATGCCACAACAGATAGGGCTGGGCAAGCCAATGCCAGTGACCTTGGATTTCATCTTGAGTTTCACATGTGGATGGAGAGATTCAAGAGCTTGAGCTACTGTGTGCTGCCTCCCAGGATGCACATTAGCAGGGAGCTGGATTGGAAGTGGAGGAGCCAGGGCTTGAACCAGACATTGTTGTGGGCCTCCAAAGTTGTGATTTAAGTGCTATGTCAAATGCCTGTGCCATATGCCTTTTATGTATCTTGTAAATGCAACTACATGATTAGTTTCCTAGTAACCTACTTTTCCAACCAGATCAATGCCCATAGGCCCCTCTAATAGAGAAATTCTGGAGCCAACTTCTGTTAGTGCTGGAGATGGATAAATCATTATTTACACCAAGTAATTCTACTATTCAAATATTCTTGAAAGATTCAATCTGATCTGTTACTGACACCCTCCAGATTGCCTGTGTCAGATATCTGCTACTTGCTGTTTTTCTTTTCTCTTTTGTCATATCAAACCAACCACAAAATTAAAAATCTCATAGCTATCTCTGCTGCCCCAAACCCTCATCTTCTGTATACTATTACAATAAATGTAATCTTTCTATTTCCTTTCTTATACTGTCATTCTAATGAGTTTTTTGATGTGAGAAAGTGATCATGTAGTTCCAGTAGTCAAAGTCTCCCTGATTAAAAATCTTTGCTTTTTGTAATGTACAAGGCTCTACAACCTTGTCAGATGATTGGTACTCATCTTTAATAGCACTTAGCTTCAATTTATCCAGCATTTGCCCTGAACTACAAATAGCATTTGGTATTTCTGATGTGCATATTCTTATATGCATGCCTGTATTTCCTCAGGCATGAAAACCTGGGACTTATATTTAATGTCATTAATCAGTTCCTCATTCCTCCCAGGTAGAGTCAGGTATTTAACTGTCTAAGCAAACATTATGTTTTGTACCTTTCTCTATGATAATGATTAAATACAGAATTCAAATTATAAATTTTATGAAAGTTTAAGATCATGACTTGAGACTGGGCTTCCAAATTGTCCTATCCATAATAAATAGTATGTACTTTATAACTGAAAGCCTACATAAGGGAAAGAATACTTTGAAAATTAGAATAGCTTGTGTCCCATACACAGCAAAGCAACTTCATTTTGTAGCTGGAAATTTCTGTCTCAGTAATGAACTAAACTTTTTTTGAAAAGTGAAAAAATCCCATTTTAATAAATATTATTAGCTGCGTACCACATAGTAGTAAAACTAGAGATTAAGTACAATTAAGACTAATTCCATTTTGTTAGACTCCCTGAAATGACACACTTCAGAAACAGCAAAGTTACCCAGTGGGTTAGTCCCAGATGTGGAAACGTATATCCAGCCCTTTTTATTTATGGGTGAGGTACAGATTGCCAGGGACTTTACATACACTGTTCAGTCTCTTCACAAAGTGGCAGTGTCAATATCCTTACTGTGAGAGACGCTGATACTTAGTTTCATGTGTCCATGCTTACATGATTAGCTCCTACATCATTGTGATTTTAAATCTATATTGTTACATCTTTGCCATCATTTTTTCCTGGAATCATATTGAAATATTTTTTAAAAATAAAATGCTACTGGAAGTGGCCACATAGATTACTATTGAATATTTCTGTGATCTCACTTTGCTTGAAAAAAATGTAACAGTCAGCAATCTACATACACATTTACACATATGTGCTCCCTGCCAGTAAATATGAACATCTGTAGCAACATAGGGATTTGACAGGCAGGTTTATGGCTGTATTATCTGCTTTGCTATATAGAGGGTATTTTAATTTTGTCACTGGATGCAAAACACTGGCCAAGTTTGGCAGACAATTGAGAGTCAGTTTTTGGCATAAATCTCTGATTTTCTGGCAAAACTCGTTAGCAATGTAAAAGCTGTTATTGAGAGCATATTGTGATGATACATCATGTCAATATTTGTTTGGCTGAGTTAACACTTAGATTTAATAAATTAATTCTTAAATATACAATTTACAACTGATGAGCTACTTTAGAAATTAATTGTGTAGATTTTAGTGTCAGTACCACAAACATTTTGACAATTCTTCAGTGGGAATGCTATCCTCTCTGGTTTTTTAAATAAAAGTATGGACAGATTGGGACCCTTTAAAAATTATCCTTAGATCTGTACATTATGTAAGAAAAAGTTCTAAGGGAATGAGTAAGTCATAGAAGTAAATTACCAAAATGATTTTAGAGAGGGCCACAGTGTGTTCGTGAATCTGGACTACAGAAAGATCAATTTTGTTTTTCAAAGCAATGTGAAATGAAGGCTTCAGAGCCTGTGGGCACTGAGATCTGGTGAATCGTTATCAAGCCCATATACCTAATCAACTAAATCTTTAATTTTCATAATCCTGCTGTTTGGATCAGAGAAATAAACAAAAGCAGAGGAATCCTTGAAACAGAGATTGCTAAGTTTGTTTATTGTTGCTTCCCTATATGGAATCAATAATGTAAAAATTTTAACTCAGTTTTTCAATTTATCCAACACCTTGTGACCTATGAATAGATAATATCTGTATTTCTTACGACCTTGTGTTTTGAAAGAGATTCTGTAAAATATATCTTCGAATTATTTCACAGTAAGATTTTATTTTTGAAATCATTTTTTGCTCCATACAATAACAAAATTCCAATTTATTATTCCTTACCTTCTTTCATTACCCACCTTCCATCCCCATTCCCACTCACACCAAATTTAAAAAAAAAAAAATAGTTCTTACTCTGAAAAGTTGTAAACCCTTTGAAGATTTTCCTGAAACACGTCAGCTTTGCCCCATTTTTGAAGCAGTCTTTGCTATTGACCAAGTCAGTGTCTGTTTCTGTCATCTCACCTCATCCTCACTCTGTCTAGAGAATCTTTACATCGACTTTTTGAGTGATTTTTTTTTTTTTTAGTCCTAACTGAATGCCTTTTCGGATTCCAAACAGCTCCACACATCATCTATTCTACTATTTAATAGGAAATTTAAATGGACGCTTCCAAGCATAAGGACTGAAGAGCATCCTAGAATAGAAAAGGATTCTTTTCCATTTTGTCAAACACAACTGGGCTGGAATAAACTGATAATTAGTAGATCCTTCCTCCAGATACATTTATAGTTGTGGAGCAGTTGCCAGAATTTCATGTGACAATGAAATAAATACATAGGTGAAACTCACCTATGTATTTCATATCTTAAAATGATTTATAATTTCCTTTTGAGGGTTAAATAGTGCCAAACAAATGGGACAGATGATGAGTGCTGCAGCAACTCAAAGAATTATGGAGGGCCGAGTCTCTTGAAGACGAGTTTGCAACGGGATGACATGAGCAGGAGCTTGAAGGGAAGACATGTGGGAAGACATTCATGAATTTAATCAGTAGGCATATTTTGAGCACTTCCTATAAGCCAGATCCTGTCTAGTCATCTGATAGAGCAGTGGACAAAAACATTTTTCTACCTTCATGAAGTTTACAAAATACTGGGGAGACAGACAGTGACCGAGTAAGAAAATACAATGTCCAGTGTCAGTGATTTAAAGCAAAAAAGGTCAAAGCACCATTTTAGTTACAGTGATAAGGAATAGATGTGACTTTATTCATTTATTTATTTATTTGCCTTTTCATTCTATCTTATCATTTTGTTTTTAAATTAGTTTTTAACATTTTCAATATAGTTTGTTTGTTAGATAGAATCCTCTTTTTTCTTTCTTCTTTCTTCTTCTTTTTTTTTTTTTTGACAGGCAGAGTGGACAGTGAGAGAAAGACAGAGAGAAAGGTCTTCCTTTTGCCGTTGGTTCACCCTCCAATGGCCGCTGCGGCCGGCGCGCTGCGGCTGCCCACCGCGCTGATCTGATGGCAGAAGCCAGGTGCTTATCCTGGTTTCCCGTGGGGTGCAGGGCCCAAGCACTTGGGCCATCCTCCACTGCCCTCCCTGGCCACAGCAGAGAGCTGGCCTGGAAGAGGCGCAACCGGGACAGAATCCGGTGCCCCGACCGGGACTAGAACCCGGTGTGCCGGCGCCGCAAGGCGGAGGATTAGCCTAGTGAGCCGCAGCGCCAGCTTGTAGATAGAATTCTAAGAATATAATGATATTTTCTTCCTCTCTTCCCTCTCTCCCTCCCATTTTCTCTTCATTCCTACCTTTCAAGGAGTGCCCTAATGCAATTATGT